CAAACATATAGGTATATGTGTTTTTTTTTTCCTTGTTCTTTTCTTTTTGGTCACCCTTCATAAACAAAACATTTTTCTGTAAGTCCCATCATTCATTCAATTTTCATTTCATTTTTAGATGAGCAACTCATGACACATCATATACCTAACATTGGAATCAATGATATAAATGAATGATTTGTTTTCAGATAATTTTGTAGAATACTATCGTTAGAAATATGTTTGTTATAAGAGTACTAACAAAATGTTTAGTGCAAGCTAGAGTGTTTAGTTGAGAAACTAAAAATTAGTTTAATTAGCTAAACACATGGGTATTGATACTAAAAATTTCAGAGTGTTTTTGTAAGAACTTAAAACTGTAATTACATAATAGTGGATGATGAACTTACTGTGCCATGAATTTATTGAATTATTCTAAAAATCTGAAATTAGATACTAGTATGGTCGCATAACATTATCAAAACTATTCTAAACTCTGAAAGCTCGAATGTATTCAAAATAGAGATTGTAAGAGTTGAAAATAGGAACTCTTTGTAATGCATATATAATGATACTATATATTAATGTAAATATATCATTCATTCATTTCAAATAATGTGATTTGTAATGTGATTGTGTATGTAATCTATATTTTTTTTTAAATATTTTACAACAAAAACGTTGTTTATGTTTCAAATAAAAAAACCAAAAAATATTATAGTGTGAATCCGATAAACCCTATTGTGGAGATGAGCCTTAATAATTGAGATTAGAACTCCATATTAATAGCTAGAAGTTGTAAAAAAAAAAAATTGTAGGAACCTTTTGAAGGTGTGCTTTGAATGTTTTCAAAAGTAGGTTTTTTTGTATGTATAAATGATTGAGGTAAAGTGGCGGGGACAGGAATTCACTTAAGAGGGGACACCATAAATAATAATATGGTAAGAAAATTTGAAGCAATATAAATACATAAAAAGATGGATCTATTTTTAATATTATTATTTTTTAAAAATTTGTAAGACTCAATTGAGGAGGAAAAAGTGGGGTCTTTTTTTAATTTTTGAAAATTTTGTTGGGTAGTGATTAGTGAGTTAAATGGGGGATTGGATCTCTCTGAATTCTGAAAGTTTTTAAAAAGTTTTTGTGGCATTTTTAGGGGTTCAGTGGGGTCATTTTAGAATTATCAAAATTACAGTTTTTTAAATTACTAATAATGCCCTCACTGAGCCTAGTGTGGCTCCGCCACGGAGGTGGACAATTAAGATAGAATCTATCCTTTTTAAAAACAGACAAATCCCAATTTTTAATTCTTGTTGCCTCTATTTATTCAAGTTGATAAAAAAAATAAATAAATAAATAAACTATCAAATTTTGAGCCTTTTAATATCGAGCTTTAGAGATTTTTATTGAATAAAATTTGCATCAGCATTACCGGAAAGATTTTTCTGTACCTTTAATACTTTGTTATTTATGCCATCAACCAATTATATCATTTATTCAAGTAAAAGTAATTTATTTTAGTGAATCTTATCATGCGTATCAGTATTTAATAAATTTATAATATCATATCATCACTACAACGGACGATACCGACATTATCTTCTTACAAGTCAAGACATTTGACACATATTCAATCCATCTTGACCCTCAATTTATGTGCTTAAAAATTACCCAACTTATTTTCGACCCATTTAAATATGATTCACAAAAAATTATTAAAAAGCAGGCGAATATAAACGAGTTGATGGATTGTGACTCATTTTACCATCCCTAGTTTTACGGCTATATACAGGGTAGAAGAGAAAAATAATTTTAGGCACAATCAACAGGCGAGATTGTTAGTTAGAAATGAGAAAGTATAATTCAAAACCGTCCAAACTATAGACCACCTATGAGACAAACATATAGGTATATGTTTTTTTTTTTTTTTGGTTCTTTTGTTCTTTTCTTTTTGGTCACCCTTCATAAACAAAACATTTTTATGTAAGTTCTAGCATTCATTCAATTTTCATTTCATTTGTAGATGAGCAACTCATGACACATCATATACCTAACATTTGGAATCAATGATATAAATGAATGATTTGTTTTCAGATAATTTTGGAGACTAGTATTGTTAGAAATATGTTAGTTATAAGAGTACTAACAAAATGTTTAGTGCAAGCTAGAGTGTTTAGTTGAGATTTTAGAGGAAACTAAAAATTAGTTTAATTCGCTAAACACTCGAGTATTGATACTAAAAATTTCATAGAGTTCTTGCAAGAATATAAAATTGTAGAATTATTCTAAAAATCTGAAATTAGATACTAATATGATCGCATAACATTATCAAAATTATTCTATACTCTGAAAGTTTGGATGTATTCAAAACAGAGATTGTAAGAGTTGAAAATTATATAATAATACTATATATTAATGTAAATATATCATTCACTCATTCCAAATAATGTGATTAGCAATGTGATTGTGTATGTAATCTATTTTGTTAAAAAATACTTTACAATAAAAATGTTGTTTAATCTATTATAGTGTGAATCCCATAAACCCTATTGTGGAGATAGGGCTTAATAATTGAGATTAGAACTCCATACTAATAGCCAATATAGAGGTTGTGAAATTTTTTTTAAAAAAATATTGGAACCTTTTTAAGTTGTGCTTTGAGTGTTTTCGAAAGTAGGTTTTTGTATGTATAAATGATTGAGGTAAAGTGGCGGGGACAGGAATTCACTTAAGAGGTAAATACATAAAAGGATGGATCTATTTTTAATATTATTATTTTTTAAAAAATTGTAAGACTCAATTGAGGAGGAAAAAGTTGGGTCTTTTTTTAATTTTTGAAAATTTTGTTGGGTAGTGATTAGTGAGTTAAATGGGGGATCTCTTTGAATTATGAAAGTTTTTAAAAAGTTTTTGTGGTATTTTTAGGGGTTCAGTGGGGTCATTTTAGAATTATCAAAATTACAGTTTTTTAAATTACTAATAATGCCCTCACTGAGCCAAGTGTGGCTCGCCACGGAGGTGGACAACTAAGAGAGACTCTATCCTTTTTAAAAGCTGACAAATCCCAATTTTTAATTCTTTGTTGGCCTCTATTTATTCAAGTTGCTAAAAAAAAAAAAAAAAAAAAAAAAAAAAAAAAAAAAAAAAAACCTATCAAATTTTGAGCCTTTTAATATCGAGCTTTAGGGAATTTTATTGAATAAAATTTGCTTCGAACATTACGAGAAAAACTTTTATGTATCTTTAATACTTTGTTATTTATGCCATCAATCAATTGTATTATGTTATTTAAGTAAAAATGATTTATTTTAGTAAATTCTATCAATATTTGATCCAATTAATATGATACCAACATTACCTTCTGACAAATCAAGACATTTGACACATACCTCAATCAGAGCTCCACAATTCTATATTACTGTGACATACAGAGTAGAAGAAAGAAATAATTGAAGGGCACAATCAGGTGGCAAGATTGTTGCCCTTGGAGAGAAGAAAGGCAGTTTGCTTATGTCAGAGATGAGAAAATCATAAATCAAAACTGTCCAAACCACCTTACAATTTCTTGTAATCAGAATTCATAGAGGAATAAAAAAGATTTATGCAGTCCATAGAAAAAAAAAAAAAAGAGAAGAAAAACAAGTGGTTGCCAAATGCTGTTGCATGGGTGTTCCCTCCTTAGTCATAACAAAGAACAAGTTGAGTGCATTAGCCTCCAAGTACCTTGAATAAAGTTCCAAATCTTACTAATTAGAATGTTGAGGGTTCAAGCCTCGACAAGAATAAAATAAATGTGCAAGTTTCAAATAATAACAATGATATGACTCGACACACTTTTGATTTTAAGTATACTTGTTCAAATATTCATGAACAAAAAAGTAGGAGATATATCATAGTTGACTATGATTTAATTATGAGTCAACTAATAAAAATGAACCGTCCCGAAAATTATTACACTAGCATATACAGAAAAATCTTGAACCTTAAACTGTCGTGTGCTTTCGGCGCAGAATGTGTATGGTCCAAAAGTTCCCTCCCTATATTTTTTTTCTTTTTTTTTTAAGCCACCCTTCATGAATAAAACATTTTTTTATATGTCCCATCATTCATTGATTTCTGATTTTTAGATGAACAACTCTTGCATGGCACGTCATACATGTTACACTGCCATCAAAGATATAATTTAATTTTACCTTTTAGAAACATATGTGATGGCGATATTAGTTGAATACTTTGGAGAATCGTACCTTTAAAACATCTTTCTTATGGAGTACTATAAAAATGTTTAATTAAAATATTAGAGGAATTTAAAAATTAGTTTAATCAGCGGGTTATATATTGTAAAAAATCAAACAGTTCTTTCAAGCACATGATCAATTTTTTTTAAATTATCCCTGAAGATTTAAAACGGAATACTTGTCTAGAAATTTAATCTTACCTTTACCACTTACACTAAAAATATTACCATCACTAAAAGTAACAATTTCAACTGAACATTTCTTAAAAATGGTAAACAATGTTTTATCCCTTGTCATATACATAGAGCAACTACTATCAAAGTACCAATTCTTTCTTCATTTATTATCAATTTATTTATTAGTTGCATTTTATTCCTAATTGAATTATTTTTTTATTTTTTTAAAAAATAAGTGTTGCGTGAGTTTAAAATAGCTAAAAATAATAATAAATAAATAAATAAATAATAATAATAATAATAAGGCTAAGCCGAAAACCTATTCGTAACGAGTTGCCTCTGATTTTCAGCAAATATCCATGAACAAGCCATATCATAGTCGACTACGATTTAATTACGAGTAAACTAATAAAAAATGAACCGATACCGATAATTTTTTAACCTTAAAACTGATCTGAGCTTTCGGCGCAGAGTAGGAGAAAAACAAATCCCCAAAGATCTTGATATCATAATACTGTTTCTCAATACATAGAATGTGCCACATTTTGCTTGGCAATAAAAACAGAATGAAGGGGATTAAGAACTGCTATATCATTTAGGGCAGAAGTAATTGAATGATGTATCTCTCTTATAGCAACTAATCAATTACCAATCAACTTAATATGAAACCGTATTTTGGATGACCACAGATTTGCAAATAACCATATCAAATACACGAACAAAAACTTGTTACAATCAGGTAAAGCGGCAAATAAAAGGATGCCTATTGTCGAAAAAGACTAAAATGTGGGGAGGGGTGAAAACTCAAATCAGAATCATGCAATGCCACAACTTACAGATACATGATACAGAGGAAAAATCAATATAATTACATTTTGTGAGTCGAGAACCGGGTAGGTCCTCTAGGTTCCTAGAGGAGCTCTGTCATCTGGTCCGGCAAGCATGATCTGGAATTTCAAGAAATTTAAACTAAGAACACTTTTACAGAGAAAATAAGAAATATTAAAATGGTTCCTTTTTTCATATGGATAGAAAAAAGACTTACGTTACAGTCGAACGCAAATCTCCTGGCAAGCATAATGGCTGCGTTTCTCTCTCTCTCTGATTCGCATGCTAATACAAAGGAAAGCCCGGTTTTTGCTTGCCAAAACAATGCCTGAGCTGCTGCATTTCCACCACCTCTAACTCCGCATAGCTAAAGGTTGAAATAACAATTTCAATATGAGTGTCCCCAGATATTAATCCATCTTTGTCGAAAGCCGAAGATATTAAAAATCAACATTTTTACACTGGCCTAAGCTTTATAAGAAAGGCGATGTCTCATAAGATAGGGTTGAAATAAATCTATAGTGGACAACAACTGAGAACATGTCAATTTACTGACATTGTTGAGTCCAGGTATGAGAACAGCCACCTTGTTCAGAATAATGCCAAAGGTTAGGTAGATATAAATGGGGTAATGCACTTTTAATGCATTTTAATTTAACTGGGAAAATATAGCATCAAGAAGTCAACTATTTGTGAAAAAACCATACGTTGGCACGTAACTTTCTATTTACAAATGAAGCTAATCCCTTCCTCAAGGCAGCCATATGGACAACATTAGTATTTAGAATAAATACATGACATGACTCAAACCATCTCACTTCAGCTTGTTATTTAATTAATTATATTGGAGAAAAGCAAGGAAAATTGTCGAATTATGTGGCCCAAAGTAAACATTGAACCACACTATATTTAAAGAGTTTGATGCTCAAGGACCATTTTATTATTAAACTTCACTGTAAGCAAGGTCAGAAAATAAAATGTGCATGGTTCCCCTACCATTAGAGAGAAATTATCAGGGACTCGAAATAACGAGGAATAACAGATACATGGCATACAGTTATTTCGATGGGATACACCCTAATGTTTTTTTTTTTTTTTTTTTTTTTTCCCCTCTTTTTCTTTTCAACTTAATTAATCGCATTTAAGTAATACGCCATATTACCTGCATTGAATTGGAGTAATATTCTTTAGCCATTGTTGCCTTTCCTTTACAGAGCTTCATTCTCATCTTTCCCACATGAAGTACATGGATGGATTGCGATGGATAATCTGCCCCGTTCATCTGGGCAATGACAACCTGCAAATAACATAAGAATATGCATGTCTCAACAAGGGAAAACAATAATAAAACGTCAGGTATAGTACCGATAATTGATGAGAGAAAAAGTCACATTCTAAGGACTAAATTGGGATTTGGGATATGACAATTATTTTAGCATTGGGACTTCTGCCCGCGCGGCGGGAAGCTGTAAAAAAGAATGGCAGTAGTTTGAGGAAGTGTTGCAAATTTGGAAAAAGATTTACATAACATAATTTGACATATGACATGAAGTATAATATATTTAAGAAAGTACAAAAAAATAATAATACAAATGACATATATGGTTTTTGACACTGAGGACAAAAAGAACACTGCCCCCTTCTTTTTGACTCTTAGAGCATATCTCTACACCAACACTGGATTTCAGGATTAAGAAAATACATGGTTTGATAGAAAGAAACCTCCAAAACAACCACAAAACATATCCAACTCAAAACACCTACATTTAGGAGTAGAACACAGAGTGTATATGTGTGTGTAAACTATCTCCACCTTCACAGAAATTGCAATACATGTCTCCTTTTTGGTATGACTCACAATATAACATACAATTCTAAGATAAATCAGAAAATTTGTCGCCCAAACGACGGATGTTATTTCATTTCTCATATGAGCAGGAGGATAACTAAAATATCATTGGTCAGTTTATCACTTCTGATCTGTGTTACATTGATTTGGGTACGTGTGTCAGATGCGAGTATGTATCCATGCGTCGAATGTGTCAAATAAGCAAACACAAGGATAAAAGGACACTGTTAAATATTCATTATTTTTATTTTATTACTAGAGTAAAAAATATAAAATAATATGAATATTTCTAGAGTTTGGGGTAAAGTGTTGGCGCTAAAAAAGAACAAGAACAAATAATTCATGTAGCGGAAATGAGGATGTTAAGATGGATGATAGTTGTAACTTACTTCCCTGAAAGTTTAACTGATTAAGAAACTAAAAATAAACGTATATCAAGTTCTCACACCATTCCTCGTGTAACACCATCTTGCACATGGAGAAGCAAGCAAACACGTGTGCAAAATGGGGAAACAAATATAGATATGAAGACAAGAATCCTAATGCCTCCTAGAACCAAAACTCTATTATAATATCAAATTTTCAATTGCCATAAAAGCTCAATCTATTAAGGAATGGACTTGCAACGAATATTAAGCTCTGACATACTCCCTCATGTGTGACTTCATTTCCTACATGGAGATAAAACAATTACAAATGGATAAACTTGAGCGTGAGACCACTTGAAACCATAATTGTCATATTCGACAACTAACCCACTTCCTCAAAAAGTTTAAACTGTTAGGCACTGTGTCCAATAAAGTATATCAAGCTCTCACAAGTCAGAAATTTAATCATGTGCAACTCTGTCTCGCAAATGACGAGGCAAGCAGATGCAAGTACAAATGCAAAATGAGAAAATAGATGCAAAAGTCGAAACTTGAGTCAAAACAAGACCAAGACTCTAATACCATTTTATACAAAAAATTCTCTCCAAAAGCTTAAGCTTGAGGCTACCTGGTATTCTAACAAGTTTCAGTTAAAACTTAAAATTGTAGATGCATTCTGATACATGCTGTCCTTAAATAGTGGAATTAAGTCAATGGAATTCGATTCGTCATGTCCACTATAATTTCACATATGAGTGAATATTGATATACACAAACATATATACAAATTTTTCTATCTTTGTAGGGGTAAGCCATATGTGAATCATTTAATTTTGCATCACACGATTCGCAAGTTGCCATAGGTAAATTATTTGATTTTATGACGGCTCACGAGAAGAATTTGTTCAATTTCAGGTTGGGCCAAGATTGGGACCCCAAAAATTTGGCAAACTCAGTGGCTACCTAGGCCTGATCGGTCCTTTCCAAGTGTCAACATGTTCTCACAAATTTCATCACTATAAGCTATAAACAATGATATTGGCTATATATACAGACTTCAACAGTTATGGAACAATGGCCAAATTTATGATACACACTGAAGTCATCATGTTGCCATAAATGACTAAGAAACTTTGATTGATATTGCAATACATACATTGAATTCTGTGTCATGTCGTCTCACCAAAGATTCGACATAGTTTCCCAACCCTGCAGCTGTTCAGCACAAATTTTATTCAGTTGAATTTGTAAACAGAGACAAGTAGATAATTCGCATAAAGGCATAATGAACCGCTAATTTGAATTGACAATTTTGAAAATGGAAGGTTATAGGAATAGCATGAGTTGATAATTCAACTCTGATGTAAAATTGTGTTGGAATCCCGGATCTAGACCAAACCTGGATCAATGGGACCGGTGGTTGTCACTGTGATTCTCTGCCCCTCTGAAATGATATCGGCTTGCAAAATTCGACCAACATCAAAAGGCTCCGGAGCATAAACTGGTTTGGTGGCTCCTGAAACAGTGGAAACTTGACATCAAAATCAAAGGTAAAGACACGACAAAACAGAACCACAAAAAGTTAGAAAGGGCTTAATAAATTTCCTATTTTATCTAGCCATTCAAACATCTAAAGGCAAGAATAAAAATTCCTTCTCTTAAATAAATAAGCATCATAGACTGGCATTTGGTATTTTACAAAATGATCGAAAAAGAAACATTTAAATCATCAACCAAAGAATCCGTAGGGTTCAATGAAAGAAGAAATTTTACCTTGTGCTACGAACAAGAGAAGGAAATTAAAATTCCTAGACAATATCGGAAAATTAACAAGAATGAAAAAGAAAATAAGAACCTATTATCATATCTAATGATACTAATGACAGCAGCAGCAGTAAACTGATAAGAACTCATCAACAGTACACCAACCCAACTTTTTTCTTTCTTTCTTTTTCTTTTCTTTTTTTTTTTTTTTTTTTTATTATAGAAAAAGGAAGTAAATAGATCATTGAATTGAAAGAATGCTAGTTATAAATTTTACATTGGATAACAGTACCAATTACCAATCTCACAGTTCATAAATTCTTCTACTCCAGAAAGGAAGTTTAGATACAAATAAAGTAAAACGATGATCAGATTGCATAACATTCTATGAGATATCAATAAAGTCAATAAAATCAATATATACAGCTAGTAAAACATCTAACCAAGCAGCTCAGAGTATGTTGACACTAAAAGAGTAGTATTATTAATCCACATGTACCTGAAATAAGCTCCTTTTTGCCACCTTCAGCTGTTAAGCGATACCACTGAATTGAACATTCTGAAAGTTCTAGAGCCCTTTCAGAGCAACGCTGGATCCGCAAATACGAACCCAAAGCTTCAGGACCATCTAATTCGTATAAGCGGGATGTGTTTTCCTCACCCCTCCTGCTCATCGCCAGCTAACAGAGACGGTGACAATAGAGTTCAAGATATTAATGGCAAAAAAAAAGGCATTTCCCAAGACCTCAACATAATAACATGTAGCTAATTTAATCAAGTTGTCAAAAATAAATTAAGGAAAATGAAATTATAAAGAAAAAATAAAAAAATAATCAAAATATATCTGACCTATCAAAATGTTATTTAGATGAATATACATGGTCATACTGTTTGAATATTTTGCCAAATCACATAACTGCCTAGTTTTCCAGCATATTTATTTTTTTCAAAAAGTTAAAATTGTAATGTACAAGATTTTCTATTTCATACAAATTCATGAGGTAATTTCTAGATCATGAGATTTGTGTGATTAACTGAGGCAATTTGTCCCAAAAATGAGCAGTATCCCTAAATATGGTTGAATACAAATCAAGTTATGATAATATATAATATATTAAGGTATTTAAATGGAATCCATTTAGCAAATATACAAAATTTTCAGCATTTAAAATAGTAACAAGTTTATATATGAGGATAGCACATGTAATCTTTATATTTCAAATGGTTGGATTACAATTAATTATTTCATTTGTCATTCACGAATCACAACTGTCTATCTGTAAATTAGTTCAGGTAATTAACAAAACAAGTTCCAGTTTGCAGAAATATCTTCTCTTCAACCGAAGCATAGTACCTTCCTACATGAATGTACGGTGTACCAATCTCCTACATAATCAAGTGATCATTTGTTAAGGTATTGTTTGATAAAAATTATTATTATTTTTATAAGTAAGATTGTATTAGAGAACGTTCAAAAAGGGTAACACAGCCCACAAAAACAAACAAGGACCAAATAGGCCCTCAGCCTCTCAATATGCTAAATTTAAGAGCTGAAGTTTAAGTCCTTAAGTTTTAAATGCTAATTGTACGCCTTCAATAGTTGTTGAATTTTTAGTGTTCAGTGCTCAATTTCACTTAAAAATTTACCCCGTTTTGAATAGATTTTATTATATCCAAATTGCAGTATCAAAGACACTTATTTATTCAGAATTTATCAAACAGCACCTAAGACAATTAATTTTACATGTTCAGCTCAACAGCAATAGGACAAGTATAATGTAATGATCTGTTAGTCAAAGATGTCACTATTTGAAGCGCCTAAGACAATGAATTTTACAGATCCAGCTCAACAGCAATAGGACAAGTATAATGTAATGTTCTGTTAGTCAAAGATGTCACTATTTGTGCTTTGAGTGTCGTCGTACTGTTCCTTCCTTGCAAATTGTGTTTACTAGCCAACCCACATTTAAATTTGTAAAATGTCTTAAGTGATTTTTCCAGCTCACTTTGAACATTAATTCCAAACCCCACCCCCCACCCACCCCCAAACCACCACCACCACAACAACTACAATTCTCAAATTCTTTATGTCCTCACAGCACCAATATTATACAATTTCTCACTTCCGTTAACTAGCCACAACAAAATCAAATAGGTGTTCTTCAAGTAATATCTCTTGTAGCTTCCATTGAAAAATATGTCATGCATCCCAGCTTCAATCTAGCCTACAACCCTCATCCTGATTCCCCAGATACCCATCTTGTAAGGATTAAGAAATCTATTAATACTTCTTTGGTAAGGAAAAGACCTCACACTGTAGCACATTCAAGATACACATACCTCTTCTCAACCTTTTCCATCATTCCCCCTTCCCCCTTTTCTCTAAATTAATAAACAGGTGAGAGGAGAAGAAGTGAAGAATGAAAAAGATCACCTCAAATCGTTTTATAGAGAGAGTTGACATGTGAGGTGGGGTAAGAAGGGAAAAGAACATAAACTATCCTTTTGAAAAGCCAACCAAATAAACAATCTATTCAAAGAACCCTGGAACATCAGCTAATATTAATGCAATTAAATATTAATGGATTAAGAGTTCACGTAGCAAAAATAGTAAGAACTTCACATCCTCACTGCAGCTAGAAAGATGTTTTCACAAAGAATTACCAACACATGAAGCATATATATACTTAAACTACGCCATGAGAATTAAGAACTAAATAAACAAGTCATCAAAAGTAGAGATAAAAGATATAAAGATGATTAACAAACTTGTTTCTGAAGCTGAAGAGAATGCTTAGACTTCTCTGCCAGTTGAATCCTTAATGCTCGAAGCTCATGCTCCATGTCCATAACCTAGAAATTTGTTTTAATTCACTCAAAAACAAATAACTTTTATGTAACATATACATACATATATAGATAGATAGATAGATAGATAGGTATTGAATAGAACTAAACAAGTATAACAGTAACCTTGTGCAAACAAAAGATATTCCGTTCACCCTCATGTTGTAACATGTTGATAACAATGCCACTAGAGTTGACATCTAATAGGAATCTTAGGTATTCATTTAAAATATTGGTGGTTTCTTGACATCAAACATTATAACAAAAAATGGGCATGCTTGTGTAACCAAGTTTTGATTTCCAGAATCTTAGTTGTGCTTCCTTTGTAGGTTAATTTGCTGCATGTTTAGTGTAATTTATGATTTCTAAATGTTTTTCTGAATCAAGGGTAGTTTAAAATTTTCATACTATTGGGGCCTGAATGTAGTGATAGCCCATGGATTTGATTTGTCAACAGATGGGACTTGGGTATCTCAATGGGCCTTTGTGTATGACCTTAAGCAAGTTGAGACTAGATTTGCTATATGAAATTTCAAACATTCTAACTTCAGAATTGTAATCCTAAGATAATAAGGAGATGACTAGTAGATTACATAGAGCTATGCACTATTTGAATGCAATAAACTTCAGTTCATAGAATTCTCAAGCAACTTTGGACGCTCAACAAGAAATGTGCAATTGAACCTTATAAGGAGATGAGTAGTAGATTACATAGAGCTATGCACTCTTTGAATGCAATAAACTTCAGTTCATAGAGTTCTCAAGCAACTTTGGAAGCTCAACAAGAAATGTGCAATTGAACCTTATCCTTATGGGAGGTGGGAATGGAATTCCTGTGTTAACTGAACTCAGCAATGGACCTCAAGGTATCTGTATCAAAAGCACCACCAGTGCAAAATCTGTGCTGGAGACGATATTTTTCCTCTCATACCACATCTAACTTTTGAGAAGATGGAAGGATGAGGAAAGAAAAGAAAGTATGTGGGGCAGGCAAGTAGCTATACATATGAAGCAACTGAAACATCTTCTTGCACTTTACCCATAAAAGGAATCTGGTTGGTAAAATAGTTACATGCTCTAGTAGATGTTTAATGAAAAGTTACTTGATCACCCATGGTAAATTAGCTGGCTCACCCTAAAACTGGTTCAGCATGTTTGGGAGTTTCTTTCTAGCTGTTGAGATAAAAAAAAGGGAAGGCATATATCTACACGGCTCGAAGAAGCACCTATTCTCCAATAGAGCTGTGACCACTTCCTGAAGCAGCTTCTTAAAATCCTCGTGGTGTCCGCAATAGGCCAATTAGAACTTCTTGATTAAAACATTTACTTTTGCACCTTATGGCTTTTAGGGCTTCAGTATTTTGACTTAAAGTGACCTGAAGAACAAAAAAAGACACCATAACAACTACGTATCATCAAAAAATAGGCTCAGTAGCCAGAATTGGAAGGTAGACTGGTTCAGCAGTTGTCATTTTAAACTTGAATAAAGTTGTTTCATTACTCTTAAAAAATATACAATATAAATTAGTACTTGCCATATCTTGAAGGTAATATCTACTGCAGATAGTGTTACGTGAAGTTTAAGAAAGTAATATAATACTAAAATATAATCATAACCTCTAAAGGGAAGAAAATACTTCAGATAGCCTTAGAGTTAGTGTTAGGTCAATACGATTTAAGGGGACATATTTCATTATCAAAACAAGAGTCTAAAATCTTAAATTTTTGTTTGAGTCTGTAATCGTTATTTTTGGTTTTATTTAGAAATTCTATAGTTAGTGTAAAGTAAGCTGTCTCTTGTCCAATGGCAGAATTGAAAATAAAGCTACAATCAAGGACAGAATGGTAATATTAAAAGCCAAGAGTACAAAAGTAAGTTGACACGCATATGTGAACTCACCAAATTAAGGTTCGTACTTCATACATTCATCAATGAATTCGTATTTTGATCTGGTGAAATCCTCTTTCATATGCATTAAGAGTTTTAGGAAACTACTGCATCTAAAATTTTCTGCATATAATTTGGACAGGGAACTTCAATCAATCGACGTCGACTGAGGGCTACTGGACACACATTGATCAATCAACATGTGATCTCAATCGTTCAACCTATCCAGAAAAGCAGTTTTATTTCTAATTAAAACTATGCAACTCTAATCCTTTTGCATCTCTATTTTGTCGATAAATACTCATTTATTTCAGAGAATTTATACATGGAGTATCACATAGTGAGGTTATTTTTTAGTGCATATAATGTAATTTTTCATTCAACAGTAATTCTGCATATAAATTTGAGCTGAATTGGAACACAATCAACCTACTCAGCTGGGATTGGTTTGGACGACTGGTTTGGAGATCAAAGTGCTATTGAAGAAGCAGAATGTGAGTGGAGCAGAATCCATTGAAGGAGCAGACTCTGTGCATAGGGACTATAAGTGAGAGTTTGGTGGGTCAGTTTTTGTCAAGTGTAACTAGAGCTTCTGGGATTTTGAATTGTTAATCTAGTTTTACATCTCTTTCATATTGTGGATTGAACTACTCAGCAAGCAAGCAAAGAAGCCAGCAGTTAGCAGCTCTCAGCTGGTAGCTGGCTGCAGGAAGCTAAGGGAGCAAGACACATGTGATCTCACTGGACTAGGTCCCGAGGATATTTCCTTTAGGGTTTCCAAGTAAAAATCTTGGTGTCCATTGTGCATGCTTTTTATTGCTTTACCTTTTATATGATGGATGTGTTATGTTTATGGCATGATGCATTGATAGATTGTCATTATAATCCAATTTAAGTTTTAAATTATTGGCAATTAGTTTAAATTTTGAAAAGCAGGTAAAAGGTTAGGTAAAATAGCCATCGAGTTCAAGACCAATTCATTCCCCTCTAGCTCGAGATCATGGAACCTTACGCTAATAACACTATATCAGAGCCTAGAGTTTCGGTCTTTGTCCTATCTTTCAGAAATAATACTTTTATGGGTTTCGGTTTCCTGAAGTCGAGATAATTAAAGAAACTTGGCCTCTTTCCTTGATACATCTACCAAAAACAAACAAATAACTGCTCCTGCAACAACAAATTCTTGTATATTTTTTGTTTCAATGATTTTTATCAACAAATCCAAGATCTAAGATGATACTTCTCAATCAATTACTCTCCGTCTCCAATCTTTTAAGGTCAGTAAGAAAATCCGAACCTAAATTACATGAATTTCCAAGGAAATTTATTGCATACTTTAGTACTAGATTTTGCAATCAGAATATACAAGCAACGCTAATGACTAAACAAAACAATCCACAAATAAGTTCAATTACAAACTGCAGCAGTAATTCCAACACAACTAAACATCAGACAAACCCTACCAGAAAGTCAGATACTTTCATCAATGCTTCTCACCTCTGACACCGCTTAAATAGACTCTTGCAAAGCAGTCCACATGGAGGCAAAAAATAATAACTATGGTCTTGACCCCTGTTGGAGAATATTATTATAGGAACCCTTAAATTACTCCTTGACAGAATATTGATACGAGTATATTATAGGAGTGATTTTAGGTTATGATAGAATATTGATTGGAGTGATTTATGGGATTGATTTTAGGAATCCTCCATCAATGTATTTTCCATATTTATCACTTGTATTCTTTCACCTAAAATAGAGGTTCTCATTGTAAACAATATTAAGAGAGAATATAATAAAGGTAATGTAGCCCTCTTTGGGCTCTTCGTGCCCCAGATGTGACCTTAGTGGCTGAACCACGCAATATCCTTGTGTTCTTTATTTTCTGTTTCTCTCTTCAATTTTGACAACCCTAAACGACATTTTTTATTTTATTAATTAAACAAATGTTTAGATCAGATAATCGTTCATGCATTAACACGAAATAGTTACAAGGCAATAAACATAAATGCCTCTCCAGAGTCCAGACCAAAATACACATTAAAAAGGAATATATACCAATAAATTTGTCACAAGTTTTTATAAGTATAGTTAATTTTTAAAATCTTAACATAAAACAATTAGAAATATGTATGCTGAAGAAAAACAATAATGATAAGAATATGTCTGAATAAATGATCTAGCATCGATAAACCATGAAGGGACACTACTACTGAAAAGGTGATACAAGAGTAATTATTCATTATATGGTTCAAACTCCAGACTATAAAACAAAGTCCATGACAATCTTACCATTGACACTAGACATGTAAGAACCTCCACGGCTCCACTAGGGCATGTTATTGTCCTTGGAGTTCTGTCATAACCTTAGAAAGTTATTCCAACTCTCAAAGAATTAATCCATCAGTTAAATAATCCGCAACTAATGTTGCTATCATTGGAATGGATTACCATTCCACACCATGTAACTAAACATTCCATGATGAAATCATTGTCATTGGATAAAAGTTTGAACCATAAGTTTAATTGGAAAAATTGTTTCCCGTAGGTAAATAGGAAAAGTATATTATGGGCCATGTTATGGGCCATGGGGAAACTTATAGTACCAAAACAAATAATCCCCATATATTTATATATATATATATATATATATAAAGAAAAAAATATTGGTGGCACAGCCAATGTAAATCGAAAACCAAGAGGAAAAGGATAAATAAAACATCTAATACAATGTAGATATATTAGAATTTTTCTTAAGATAACTCCACAATACTGAGTAAAAAAACAAAAGGAAATACCTTGCTAGGCTGATGCAGCATTATGATACGTCTAGCCTCATGAACCTCCTTCATTAGTTCATCCAAGTCCTATATTTTAACACAACATCATAAGATCTATAAGTAAAATGAAGATATATAACAGCATGTATACTTGGCACAAGATTGAAAGGTTTTGAATAAAAAAAGGCCTAAAGAGAAGAAAAGTTCAGATTAAAAAATAACCAATAGACCATGAAAGTATCTTCCTCACCTAAGTGAACTGAACATTTTCCATCAGATTGGACATATTTTCTCCCTTGTATGCAGTGTTTCTTATGCAAATAATGCTTATTTGGGGTAAAAATATCTATTCCAGAAAATTATACCCGACTAGTGGGGAACCTATCTATACTGCCCAATCATGCAGCAATATGTGTTCAAGATGAGGCAGGCAATTTATGCTGCATCAAACATTCGTCTTTTTTTTTTTTTTGGAAGTAAACATTCGTCTTATGTTTATCCTTAACCCAACAAATAAATAAATTCCTTTAGAACTTACTACCTATAGAGCTAATTAGATGACATGATTCATCAGCCTAGTGTTATTAAAATGATGGTGCGTCTCTATGCATTTATTAACGGAAAGTTACTTTTAAAGAAGAGTCTCTTCATTACGTAATAGAGGAAAAGAAAAGGGGGGGCAAAAAAAAAGGAAAGATAACTGAGATAAGAAAGTAACACATGGATTTTAAAATATTGAAAACCAGAAGATAATGGGAGAGATCATAGCCACATCAGACAGCAAGATTCAATGCGAACTTGGACAAGAAAATCAAATGAATCAATGTACCAGCTTCCCTGAAGCACGGGACATCCGTTCTTGTTCCTGGAGAGCCTCCTCCACTCTTTGAACTGCTGCTCTAGCATTCTCAATTTCTGACCGAGCAAAAGCTCTTTCTTCATCAACAAGTTTCTTAGCATCTTCTGAAGCCTGAAGGTGGACACAGGGATTTAGAAAGAAAGAAAGAATATGTCTGAGTGTATCAAAATTTTCATTTTGGGAAGGAAAAAGAAAAAAGAAAAAGAAATAACAATCAACAGAAAGGACTAAGAATCAACAGCAGACAATATTAACAATTATATTGATTTGTAGTGGTGGGATGGAAGAAATTTGCACACTGTAAATACAGCAGCAAATGTAAATCACTGGGAATTTTTTGAATCCACAGTAATTAAGAAATTAAAACTACTAAGTAAAAACCTTAAATGTCATATAGAATAAAAAAAATTAAGTCCAAGCAATTTTAATTCATTCTATCATATAAAATAGGCTTTGCTGAGTGAAGGACACCAATAAAGAGAAGAGTAGTGCTATGCATTCCAAAAAACTAGCCTAACTAAACAAGATGAGTCATGCATAGCCAATAAACTTGTATCTGCATGGGCCCCACATAATGGCATCCCACCTTTTATATTTTTATCTCGGCATAAAAAGGAGTTTCGGCTAAATAGTCGGAGTGTTTAGCATTTTCCATAGAATAATTACAATATGGTAGAAATGTGGAAACCACACAAACAATGAAGAACATAATAACTTATTTCATCAAGCATGCTCCAGAGAAAAGGAATTTGATTGTATATCTTTCAGAATTTTATATGATAACCTTTCCTGAAGTGAATTACCCACTACTACAGTGAACAAATCAATAAATTAGAAGGAATGTCCGTACGCAGAAAAAGTTTTTAACTCTGCTCCCTTTTGAAGACCAAACAAGGAATTATACAAGAGGAAAATTGGACATTTGGCTCAAAAGTCTGGACAAACAAAAACTTGCGCAGCTAGCCAAAAGCCACACGAGAAGGATGCATCTTCATCCAGTGCTCTTCTAATACCAAGAAAATAACAAGACTTGCAAATGCATATTCATGGAATACAAGTTACATCCAATCTAGCTCTTAGATGATATATATCCCAAGTCCCATCCAAATGCCAAAAATAAACCCATTTAAGAAGAAGAAATACTAATCACAAAAGCTGGGCAAGAGCAACATTAATTCTTTTAGGTTCAAAGGCATGAATCTTCTGTGCATATATTTTAGCTATATACTTCATTTTTTGCAACTGTAAGTCAAGCAAGCCATAAATATGGTTTCATAAGAGTGATATGTATCAGTACAATAAAATATAGTACAGGTACAATTTTATAAACTGTCATTCAAAGTAGGAAAATTAAATTATCTATTCAAAGAAAAAGAAGAAGAATGGAAGGTTGACTATAAATTTTTTTATGGACCAATTGTATTCAAGCATCATATTCAATAACTTGTGCCAAGGAAAAATACTGATACCAAAACATAGAAGCCTTCAGTTAAGCTCAAACCTTCTACACCTGAGCTCTTACACAAATAAATTCTTTAAGGCTCCATTTGGATTGAAGGATTTCATATGAACGGATTCAGGTTTAATTATGAATGTATACACGTCTTTTGCCGAAATTCAAATGAATAAATTTCAGCAAAAGCCATTCATCAAGACACGGTCAAACAAATGCACAAATCACAATGCCAGATTTTAGTCTAAGATTTTACAGAATGCAAACACATTACCTAATTTTCAAACACAAATGCACAAAGCTGTAAAAACACATTCCCTTTACCTGTTTAAGAAAGTTTGCTAGCTTTTTCACTTCTGTCTTTTCTTGAATTAGCTCTCCTTCCCTCTGAGTCAACTGAACTGCTAAAGCTTCAACCTGGAGAAAGTAACCATAATTATGGCATACCCAAGAGTGAGAGCCACTTGGAGACGGGGAGCATAGGAAATATGAAAAAAATTATGAATTCAAATCCTGACCATTGTTATCATGAGAACAAGTTTCAAGGAAAGTAAGAGATAAGTTGAAAAATACCAAAATAAAGAGAAATTTATCCGTGTATACACACATTGACTTCATAAGAAATTCATGCATATGACATATTGTTGAAGTTTATGATGTGCATTTCATAGATAGATCACATCATCATTCTGATGGTCAGAACAGAGAAGTGGACACCCCCACCCCTCAAGAAAATAAATAAATACTTTACTGGTGTTCATCAGCACAATAGGGTATATCACTTCAAGGGTGCATGAAAACCTTTAACCCTTTTAAAGTATTATTTGTTTGAAGTTTAACAGCTTTACTTCTAGTGGAATGTTGATAATTGACCAAGGTAGCAATCATAATAATTCTAATTCCCTTTCAACCGGAAATATGGACCGGTAAAGCATCCTTATGAGGCTCTGCAGAGATCATGTGAAGATGTCGTTCAGACAGAGCCTAAAGCTTGGCCAGCATACAACCTTTTCCAACCAAAACTACAACTGCATTTCTGACTTTCAACATTATTTTGTATTCTATTGTTTAATTCATCAGAACTATTAATTATGGAATTTGGTTTTTGATCAAGAATTTGGATAGTTGAGTGAAGAAAAGATCTGATGCTACCAGAGGTCTTGGGCTCAACTTTGCATTTAAAAATAGAAAACACGTCATAGAAATAACTCAATTGATGAGTTGTTAAAATTAAAGAGCAGTAACTCAGACCAATGTCCACCTCATACAAATGGCCTGAGCTCAGTATGAAGTTCCTGAGGTGGCATTTTAGTAGCCCGGCCTGATCTGCTCTCTTCCTTTAGTGAACCAATGTGTAACGTGCACTCTTGAGAAGTATAAATATTGAATTGTATTTTTCACTTGCTTTGGGTAAAATCTTATTCAGGTACAAAATCTATATTTGGGAGTTAATAGTCCCATGAAGATTTTATCTTGGAGTGTGGCATAAAAACTTGCTAATTGAAGAGGAACTTTTCTTTGGGCAATTTGGAAAGAAAGAGATATTGACAGGGCAACCAAGTTATTCTATCAGTAGTTACTTCAAGTTCTCAACACAGGTCTTTTAATGCTGTTTTAGCATTAGAAGATAATAATGGTGTCTAGGTTACAGATCAACTGAAGGTGAAGGATTTGTTGCTTGATTACTATAAAAGCCTCTTTGCTCCCCAGACTTCTGTTGTTCCTATGCAGCAATTGTTGCAGCATAGGTACTCTTAGAGAGCCTCAGAAGCTGCTATGCTTGAGATTGTGTTTTTTCGGCAAGAGGTTAAGTAGGTGGTCATGTCCATGGGTACTGATAAGTCCCCTGTGTTGGGATTTGTATGCCCTAGTATAGCAAATTCTTACTTGGATTGTATAGACATTGTTCCTTATCTAAAATGACATTTATGTATTGTACAATTGGTGAATACTAATGTATTATGTTTTCGATTCATGATGGAATTGAATATGTTCACTTGGTTGCAAGACAAATTTATATGTATGTGATGCCGATCAATACAAGAATATAAATAGCAATCATAAATAGTTCGTAGTCAGTAATTAAGGATGGACTCTTAATTAATTTAAGACTTGAACTGAATCCACGATAGGTTGAGATATATTGCGAGAGCCGTCGTTTGTAATTGCTCCCTATCATCGTCATACCATTTGACTCTCAAGCATGAGAGAGATATAGACTTTTTTATTAATTAGTAATTACTTTGATTTGTTCGGCGGAGCCTTCAGGATCCAATAACCAGCACTTTGGGTAATTATGTAATTAATAGTTAGAGGATTATATTCTTAATATTTGCATCGTTGCTAGTAGTATTTACTTTGTATTGATTATGGTTGATCAAAAAGTAAATTCGAAGGCCTTCGTGTGTTTTAGACTAAATGATTTTTATGAATTTATTTACTAAATTATTATTTTTGTCAAAAAAATGTTTTATTGTGATCAAGCCGGGGAAATAATCATGGAACCAAAATAAATATATTAATTGTGTAGCCGGATTGATGGCTACAATTATCCGATAACTAATTATGCATAGAGGGGTCAAAGTGCAACATTGACTTAGTGGTTATTTACTATTTGATTGGAGGTCAATTAATTTCTTTTAATGGAGTAGATTTTAATTGAATTAGGTCCATGGTATAATGGACCAGGTCAACAATTATTAATTCATTTGAGCCAAGAGAATAGTAAGTCCAAAGGATTGTCACCTATAGCCCAACTTGATATTGGAGGCCCATTAGACTGATGATAGCACTTTAATTGTAGAGATTGAGAATTACTTTTGACTCACCATGTGACTATATATACATATATGATGTGTATTGTTAGTAAGCTTTTGGGCATCATTAGTGTGTGAAGATAAATATTTCACTCTCTAGAATTTTAGGGTTTGTGTTCTCATCTAATGAAGGCTCCCACAAGCTATGCTTCCAAAGTCTTCATGGAGGTTATATAGGTGATTCCTACAGGCAAGACTATCATGTTGATGGTGGTGATCTAATGAGGAAGAAAGGAGCTAAAGTGATCTTCATAAGCGAGAACATTCCCTTTCTGGATGGATTTGAGGTTTTCACAAATCTCTAAGTAAGTTCACTAAATCTAATGAATGTATCATCATCTTCTTCTTGCATTAAAGTAATTCCTAGAGATGGATCAAGATCATTTGATGAAAAGCCCTCTTATATTTTTTTAAAATATCCATTTCCCTAACACCCTGGTCCTGATGTATACCCTGCTAGATTTTTTCAACAGCACTGGGACGTGATTAGTTGTGAATTGACCTCTGCTGTTAATCACTTCTTCACAACTGGAATTCTTTGCAAAGAGGTTTCAAGTACTTTTATCACTCTTATCCCCACGAAGGACCATGCTGCAAGGACATCTGATTTTAGGCCTATAATTTTATGCAATATTATTTATAAGGTGATTACTAAGCTTATGGCCAATAGACTATCTACTTGCCTTCTTGGATTGGTGGGGCAAAAACAAAGCACTTTCATTAAAGGTAGGCTTATCCAGCACAACATCATCATGCTCCATGAGTTAATCAGAGATTTTACTAACAAAAGGGGGCCTAAGCAGCTTGCTTTGAAGGTTGATCTCACAAAAGCATGTGATTTTGTGCGGTGGGGCTTTTTTTGCAGCAGGTTATGAGGTTGTGGGCTTTGGTTGCAGATGGATTCAGTGGGTAATTGAATGTTTACTGCCTTCAATGTTTACAGGCTTGAAAAAACCATGGGGAGAACCATGGACTCAATGACAGATCTAAATTGAAGGCAGTAGTGGGGGCAATTGCCCCCACTGAATTTTTTTTTTTTTTAGTAATCTACCTTTATAATTTGTTCATTTTCAGTAATATACCCATGAAATATTACATTTGCACTCCGTCCCTGCATGGACACTCTCCTCTTCTTTTCACTCTTGTTACTGAGTATTTTACACATACGATGAATGATAAGCTGAATGCAGGTCTTATTGAAGTCCCAAGGGCTGCTTAAAGGGTTGGCATGAAGGTGTCTCATCCATTTTATGCAGATGACCTTCTCATTGCAGTTTTAGATCTGCTTTGCATATTTCTAAAGTTTTAAATGACTTTGCATCTTTATCTGGTCTCACCATCAATGCAGTAAAGAGTAGTTTGTTCTTTTCTAACCATGTAAGGACTAAGAGGAGGATAGAGTCTCTCTTTCACTTGGTTGCTTTGTCATGGTTTGAAGCATGGTTCTCATAAGGCTTTGATTGATAAGGTCACTGGTAGGCTGTCTACTTGGAATGGCCTTAACTCTCTCTTGCAGGCAGGTTAGAATTGTTTTTTTTTTTTTTTTTGATAAGTAGAGGTTAGAATTGTTTAAATCAGTGCTGTGTTCTTATTCACATTTCTGGTGCTAAGTCTTTAAACTTCCTTCTGCTACTGTTAAGCTTCTGGAGAGGAAAATGAGGGACTTTGTGTGGGGCTTTAAGGATAATCAGAGGAAAGCGGGTCGGCTTAGTTGGGATTATGTCACTTCTACAAAGCTTGAAGTTGGTTTTGGGCTTAGGAAAGTGGTGGACATTAACCTTTTTTCTACCTGCAAGCTTGTTTGGGAATTCTTGAGATCCAAAGACTGTCTTTGGGTTGCATGGTTCAGAAAAAGATAAACAACTTATGGGCGGCTAATCCTTCATCTTCTCAGTCTGCTATCTGGAGATCAATGTTGGAAGTGAAAGATATTGTTGCTGAGAACATTTGTTTCCATATAGCCAATGGTCCTGATACTAGGCTTTTTCTTGATCCTTGGTGCCAAGGTCAAACATTGCTTCAGAGGTTCCCTTCTAGACTTTATGAGAACTGCAGATTCCAAGAGATGATATGGTTGCTGCTTTGATCAGAAATAGGAACTGGAGTCTTCCTCCTCCATCTTCAGCTGTGATCAGGCAGTTTAATAATTTTCTTCTCTCTATACAACTTCAACAAGGGACTGATTCTATTTCTTGAAGGAACTGTAAGTTCAGCTTCAAGGCAGTGTGGAATTCAGTCAGGCTTCACAAACCTGAGGTTTATTGGCACTCCTTGTGTTGGAATGGTTGCAGGCCCAGAGTATCCTTTACCTGTTGCTTGATCTTTCATGACAAGATCCAATCACAATCTAATTTGAGACTCAAAGGCCTCACTGTTGTTGCTATTTACCATTTATGTTTAGTAGCTGAAAACTCTACTGACCACTTTTTTGCTGTCTTCCCTTTTACAAGGAAGGTGTGGCTATGGTTAAGTCACCTGCTTGATTGGAACCTGCAGCACTTCAACCACTTTCACCTCCTTGCTAGTTGGTTTGGTACTCATTTCTCTGCCGCTTCTTTGAAGAAACAAGATCTGCAGAAGATTATTCTCTACTACCCTATGGTCCATATGGAATGAGAGGAATTTTAGATATCATCACGGTACTTCAAGAACTGCTGAGGAAGTTGCAAGGTTGATTTGGTGGGAGGTTGTTGATATTGCTGGTGTTCATCCACAAGCTTTACTATAGCTTCTTGCTGTTTCTCCCTTGCTGTTTTGTGTTAGCTTGTGCTTTCTTTGAGTAGTCTTCTAGTCTTGTTTTCTTTGGCCATTGGTTTCCTTATGGCCTTGTTTTTCTTTCTTGTATTGCAAGGGCATGCCCTTGTTGTTAGCCTTGTATTATATTGTTTATATCTATATAAAAAAGATTCCACTTTACCCCAGGAAAAACAAAGGGAAAAAGAAAGAGATTCTCCCTTTTTTATTAGGTGATGAGCGCCGAAAAGTGCGCATTTAAACCCCTTAAGCTTAGGTATTCTAGAACCTTTATCTATCTTATTTTCCCACTTTAGATTAATTTCGTGTTATTTCCATTTTCAGGTACTTATACCTAAAATAAGCTAACTCAGCCAAATAAGAGCAGAAATGAATCAATTCTGGGATGAATCAAAGAAAGGAGTAAAGTAGAACAAAAAGAAGCAAAATGTGGAATTTCAGCAACTTCGATCGATCTTAAGAAAAGTTTGATCGATCCAACTTTCATCGATCTCAGCACTTCCAGATGGATCTGAGCCATGTTTGTCCCTATTCAAAGATCTCAAAGTTCGATCGATCCAACTTCATTCTCTGATCGATCAAACCATCTTATCCTTATCCAAATGATTGATCTTATCCAGCTGTACCACCCTACCAACCACTTTTGTCCTTTTCCCAAAAATATCTTCAAAATATCTCAGATTTGTTTTTATCCAAAAAGGCGCCGCCATAGAGGATCGATCCAGCTTCAATTTGATAGATCTCAACCATGTTCGATCGATCTCACCACAAGTTCGATCGATCGAACTTCCCAAATCCCGAGAAAATCCAAATTCCAGCTCATTAAAAGTTGTCTCATATCCAATCATTGGAGGAATATTTGGTGTACGAGCCCAGCTCATTTGGGGTGATATTTGACCTACCTATATAAGGAATATGAGCCACTTTTTGAGAGGGACTTAGAGGGGAGATTTGGAGAGAATTCTTAGTGAGGAAGCAAAGGAGAAGAGGAGGCTAGAGACACCATTGGAGGCTCTTCATCAACCAAGGAGCAGATTTCTTCCATGGAGCTTGCCCTTAAGGGTTGGAAGACATCATCCATGAGTGGCTAGACATCCTCTTGGGGCTAGAGTTAGCCCTAAGCATGCTTTTTACATCTTGATTTATGTATTTTTGAGGGGATTTGTATTGTGATACATGTTTTGACACTTTTATATATATAGATCTTGTTTATTCAATGATTTGTGTGGTTTAATGCTTCCAATTGATCATTCTATCCATATGTCTATGTATGCTAGAATAAATGTTCATGTGTTTGTCTCTATTTCTTGTGTTATTGATGCATATCTATGTGTATTAATGCTATAGATCTAGAGATTGTCAAAACATAGTGCTTAATGGAATGCTCTTGTGATTTATTTGATGGTTCATACTCATTTCTTGATGGATTGTACCCCCCTTAGTTAATTAGTTTAATTTCATGTCATTAACTTAATTGTAGTGTAGTTGTAGTTTAGATGTTAAATGGGAGGACAATCCATGCTTGTTGTTGATGTTCCATACTTATGAAAGCAAGTAAAATATATCTCTAACCTTTTGATGTGTTTGGATTGTGAGCTTAAAGAAATGATTAATGGCTTAATTTGATATGTTGTGCTATCCACCATGTTGTTTAGACAATATATGCTTAATTTGTCATCCATGCTTGTTGAAACAACCACACACACACTTTGTTGCAATACATGTTTTTCCCCTCATTAATCATACATTAATGGTGTAGAAAAGTTATGCTTAGTGGTGATCTCTAAATCCCAAGATCTCTCTCTCTCTTTTATTCTCTTTATTGCATTATTGTTTACTTTAGTTTAAATTGCATCTTAGTGTAATTCAACCACCAACCAATCTTTTGATCACTCGACCTACTAACCCTAATCTTGATTCCTCAATCTAGTACGACTCATTAATCCCTTGGGACGATCCCTACTTGCCCTAGCTATATTTTTAGTGAAAGGTAGTAGTGGCAATTTCTAAATGTAAAACTTGGTCACATTCATCATAACTTTACACCACTATCTTTTAGTGCAAACTTTGGGTCGATGTGCGACAAACCACCATTAGGTTATCCCCAAGTCTTCCAGGGTGAAAAAACAAATCAAACTTTACTTTGTGCAATCCCTACATTTGCCTTTGTAGGCTGTCTCCATTTTGTTAGGGCCCTTAGGGGCCTCCTCGTCTTTTTTTTGGCTTAAATAACTTCTAAAATATAGTCACTTGATCAATTTCCTGTTGCAAAATGTGTCAAAAGTATGCCAGGTAATACTTCTCGCTGTTAACAATATGTTACTCAACCAATACAATATGCAGGCAGTCTTTGAAAGAAGTAACTAGCTGAGCTACAAGCGAAGTCCAAAAGAACCAACAGCATTTGTAAGTTTAAAAGGTAACAGCTGTTCCCTTTCAAATAAACTTAATATAGTAAGGAACAGTAGTATTACAAAACAAGTTTATGTGTTTTATGTGTAATAACACATAAGTTAGTTAAAAAGAACATTTTGTATTATTATTATTATTATTATTATTATTATATATATAATTTTTTTTTTTTTTTTTGGGGGGGGTGCGCACACACACAGAGAACAATTGGGAAAAAAATAAAACTAATCATACTTAAAAGATAAAGATAAATGAAACTAACCATAGCAATAGCTTCCTCTACGTCATCCTTGTTTTTACCCACCACACGGCCTTTTAAGGATTCCAGCGCATCTCTGAGCTTCTTGAGAAGCACATGTTTCTCCAACGAGGCTGCCTCTCTGAGTCTTGCCTGAACCCCACAAATTAATAGTCTTTCAGTGGTAAAAATATCATCCACTCTTACTGGAAACTAATGTTCTAAGTTGGGTCCATGTCCATTTTACTTATATTGGTTAGGTTGCTGAAAACTAGCAATAAGAAAAAGAGAAGTTAACATTTTAATTCTTGATTCTCACTACATTGGAATTTGGACCCAAAGACTTATGCTTTGGTAGTGCAAACCACTTTGAGAATCAAATAAACTGAACATTCGTGTAAATGTACAAACAAAACTAAGGCATGAAACTTGAAAATAAATGTAAAAATTTGCAGGGCAGAACCTCTTCGGACAATTTAGCAGCAGCAGCTAACCCCTTCTCGAATTTACTGGCAAGGTCACGGACTGACATGCGTTTCTGCTGTTCCAGCAACTGGGCAGTCTCTCTCGCAACAACCTCCTTCATGGTTAATACCTTAGGATCCTCCTTCATCTCCACAATCTGGTTGTTAGCTCCTATTCTGTAATTTGGAAACCGACTAGAAGCAAATATCACGTCGGCTGATACCGGCGGAACTGCCTCCTTTTTCATTGTATCACCAAAATCACGCCCTACCCTCGTCATAGTGTCAATCTAACTACTCTGTGGATCATCAAAATCAGAAAGATGAACCACTATTGATATCAGCAATTGTTATTTTTTTTTTATAATTATCAGTACTTCAATTGTTATCGTAAAATGACATCCTAACCTAAAATTGCAATGGGGTCAGCGTTTAACCACCCAAATTCTTAGACTAAACAACTAATCTGAAAATTTGAAAGTAAACACCACCACATAAGCAAAAAAACAAAAATAACCCAAATGGAAAAATAGAATCTTTAACATAAATTCATGCTTCAAATAGGACTAATTCAAAGAAAAACAAAAAACAAAAACAACCCAAGAGGCAAAATATAATCTTTAACACAAAATCATGCTTAATATAGGACCATTTCAAAGACAATCGTCAGAATAATTATGATAAGCCATACAGACAACAAATATATATGTGAGAAAATACTAAAATGAAAACTTTCAATTATCCATATTCAAACCAAAATGTCAGCACAATCAAGCTCAACCCTAACTCCCTAACATAGTCTGAAAGAAACAAAAAGCCAAACAAAGTACAAATAAAGCAAAAATGAAGACAAAAAAGAGAAATTTTACTCACGGATCATGTAAATTAAGGAAGCAGAGCAAATAAATAATGGGAAACTTGGGGGGTCTCAGATTCTTGGATCAGATGCAGGCAGATTGAATGATTTTTCTAGAGATAGAGTTGAGAATATGTCTGTATATATATATATATATATATATGTAGAGAGAGAGAGAGGGGAGGAAAGAGGGTGGGTGTGCTTTTTTAAAGCAAAAGGAAAGGAAGGGAAGGAAAGGCCGCCCAACTCGATTCTTATGCTGTGTTCTAAGCACTTTTGAGCAGTAGAATTCTCTCTCTAAACTATCCCTCTCTGTCTACTCATTTGTGTTTGGGTTTTTGCTTAAACCTTAAATAATTCCTACGATTCTAAGGCAAGTGGGTCTCACGTGTGGTTGCGTACTTTTTTTCCTGTCACTTTTTAACCTCTAAGTACGAAAATGTCCTTGTTTTTGCTTTAATTTACGGGAAAGGGCATTGCTGGACTGCTGACAAGAGCTGTCAGAAGAGCACACGTGTCTCTCGACAAGTTTACGTTCCCGGAAGTCCACGCTTGAACATGCCCGTGATTTTAGTCGCGTCTAAATAGTCAGTCATTGGATTAAATCTAAGACTGTCCGTAAATTACTTTTAAGTCCTTCAAAGTGTAGGTAATGCACACTTCTCCCGATAGTGTCGAGACATAAGTATCTTTAATTTTGAATATTTTAATTTTCTGGTTTGCAAAACACCTTAGAAAGTAACAATAAGAGCAAAATAAATTTTAAAGCTAAAATGTAAAAGTGATAAAATTTAAATTACATATAGTATGAATGAGAGTGAGAGAGTGCTCAATGAGAGTGAGAGAGTGTTAAGAGTGTGAGACACGTCCAAACATAAGAATAACGTCCCTTGAAAATAATTATGTGACTTAATTTATAACACTATCATATATTTTATATTTATTATTTTTATAAAAAAAAAAATTTAATGTAATTTAAGATATATTATAGATTAATTTAAAATTTTAAGAGCAAAAATAATATATATTATTATTTTTAGACGTTTCCATGTTATATTCCTCTCTTATTTTTTGAGATTAGACTTATCCGATTATATCTATATTCCTTGTTCCTATCTAGTTCCCTAATTTGAGTGTCATTATGTGCATTAATACTAGGGTGCACAAAAATTTGATCAAAGGTACAGTTTGGTTTGGTTTACTAATGATTTGGTTTAGTCACGGGTTTAAATTTGTAAAACCGTAAAAATATAGTTTGGTCATAGTTTATATATATAAAAACCGTTATATTATATATATGTTAAATTATACATTAAATATAATATAATCATACAATCAAAATCACTTATAAATTTGTAACAACAATCAATCCTATAGTCTACTCTTAATTCTATTAGGTCTTATCAATTTATTAGATGATTTTTTATTTTGTTTTATATATAGTAGCTGAATTTTGAATTGTGAATTAATGTTTGTTGTTGAATTAGTATTTCTAAATTTATTAGGTTACAAGTAATTCTAAATTTAAATTTATTCATTTTAGTTCCAGAAGTGATAGAGAATAATGCATTGAAAGTTTTGAATATATTAATAGTTCTGAATATGTTGTAACTTGGTTTTTTGTTGTGTATATAGATTTTGAAATATGAATACTTATATAACAAAAAAAAAAAAAAATCGTAGAACCAAACCAAACCAAACCGTTTTTTCACGATTTGGTTTTGTTCATTTGGTCAAATGGTTTGGTTTGATTCCAAATTTTATGAATTCGTTAGAATTAATTTGATTTCAAAAACCTTTTAAACCAGTTCAAACCGAACCATGTGCACCCCTAATTAATACATCAATATTGTGAGGGTCACAAATACCATACAACAAGACTACAAAAGTGCAACAATAAAATATTTATATTCAAACAATATATTATCGTACAGAACTAGTGTATGTCCAGGGACACGCCCGCTTATTATAATATATGTATTAAATTATATATATTTTTACATGTATATATAAAAAAATTCATATAATGTCCCCTTAAAATGTTTATTTTGTAAAATTATCTCCTAAATTTGTATTTCTTCTATTTTTTACTCTTTAAATTCGTTTTATTTCTTTTTTAAAAAGTCAAATTTTCCTTTTTGAATCAAACTCCAATTTTTTTCCCTTTTAAAATTCTTTCATTTTTCTCTCCTTTTTAAATTTTTTGTTAACTATTTATCTTTCTTAAATTACTCATTAATTGACATATTATTTTGAATAATTTTTCTTCTTTATCTCTTGATTTATAAAATTTATATTTATTATTGTGAATATGAATTATTAATTTTTTTTACATTGCGCTTTCTAAATTTAATTTTTGTCTCCACCACCAATTATAATCCTATTAAATTAAAATTTGTAATATCGTGAATTTAAAGTTAATGTTTAAATGCACATAACAACAGACACGTGATAAATAAATAAAAAGATATCGGAAGTGATCTGATTCCACTATCCTCAATTAATGCATTTATTTCCCCAATGTAATAAATGAGTTGCTGTAATAAATGAGTTGCCAGCGTGTGGATTGTAGAATTAATAGGACTTAAAATTTTGATTTATTTTTTCAAGATACTTACTACTAATTTTTTTTATTTGCGTCTAATTTTACTTTAAACAAATGGTAATTTTAAAATCCTTTCTACTAATTTCTCAATTTTAAAACCAACTTCCAAAATTGAGATGGGTTTCAATTTTGAATATTCCCATCAAATTAACCCTTAAATTTTAGTTCAAGTGGGTACCCTACAAGTTTGAGTCAACGTGGATCAAAATTAGTGTCCATGATTTATCCTCTCTTTTTCTTTTCTCTCTTTTTCTATTTTATTTTATTTTATTTATTCTTGAAGCTACTAAAATATTAAATTATTAAAGTAATGGCTCTTTTTGGCTTCTAACTAACTCAGTAATTGCCGTTGGTCCAAGTTTGGATCATGTGAAGGTCCTTGTCATTTTAAATGCTTACTTCCACTTGGATTTGTATTCTTAGAATCTTATCTATTACAACTTTAATTCCTCCTGGAATTTAGCAGTTGGAATCAATAAGAGTGTCAGGTTCTTCTCAAAATTTTACACTTACTTCTCAAATACACTTTGATTTATCGTTTTATTTATCAAATTATATTTACTTCTATTGATATTTATAGATAAATAACACACACTTTTCATTTGTTGACAATAAGTAGAGTCAACACGAAAAATGTCAGTAATTTTGTTATTTTAAAATTTTAATTATACTCTTAGAAGACATGTTTATTTTAATAAAATACAATATATATATATATATATATATATATATATATATATGTAAAGACAAAAATATAATTACAAGTTCGATAAGAAAGATTAAACAAGAGGAGAAGTCAATTATATTGACGAAACTTTGGGTAGGTCAGTGTAATTTACCCAATTAATTTCATCTCCCTCCCTTGTTATATTACTTTGGGTAAATTTAATCCTACTTACATTACCTGATGTTATGATTTTTGTAACATATTTCCCTACCTTCAGGATACTTAATGCACCAATTTCAGTTTGCCTTCCTAACGACCTGCAAAAAGAAATAGATAGAAGGTTAGTTTTGCTGTTATAATGTATGAAATAACAACAAATATTTCACGAGTAAAATGGTAAAATAATATTATTGCTATCAAGTTGAACGACCATCACTAATAAAGAAAATACGTAAAATCATAAAATTAGAAGGAATCTATGAGAAATTTCGACAAACCTTAACCGAAGTGAGTGAAATTTACCCTCTGGTACTTTTATGTCTATACACTTCACCAGATTATTATTGTTTTTCATTTATGTTGTAACAAAGAGATGAATTACATTTCAAAAAAAAAAAAAACATAAAGAGATGAATTGTCTACATCGTAGTATGGATACCAAATAGTGACATGATTCTTGCTTTATGCATTGACAAAGATATAGTGACAAAATTGATATTTGAAAATTATTTAATGGTGACCCTCCTCTACCCTTTTGTTTTATTAAAAGAAATGAAAATTTGTCCGTTGTTTCAATGATTCACTTACTAGGGCTTGTTCAAACACTTTTACTTTATGTTTTCTACTATCAATTGTAAATTATGTTTACTGATATAATTTTATTTTTTAACTTTATGAAAGTAATTCATGAAGAAAAGAAAAAGTAAAAATTTATTACTTTATTTACTTTGCGTAGGTAAAAAGTAACTTTTATCACTATAGCTCTCTTCGTTTGCTCACCCATCATTCTTGTATCACCCATTCTCACTCAAGATCACCACCTTCTGATCATCCACATGAACCCGAATCGACCTCAAATTCGCCAGTGGCAGAGACGACGAAGTTGACCCGAACGATGAATTCTTCTCCATTTTTGGTCTGTTCAGAAGCACCTGCCTCTCTCCTTTCCACCTACTCCCACCGTCACTTTCTCCAGCCATTGCCTTCTCCATCTACTGCCGCCACCACCATACCTTTCTCCTTTCCTCTGATCTATCAGCAGCTACCAAATCACATATACATTTATATATAACACCCAAAACATAATTTCTCTCTCTTCTCGGTAGAAACCCATTTTGGGTCAGTTCACAGGCACCTGCCAGAGGAGGTGGCAATCACCTCTCGGACTAAATTTGCAAGGAGGATTTCACAATTGATTGCGTGGGTAAATTTATATGTGTGTGTGTGTGAATTGATGAAAGAGAGTTTAGAGAGACAGAAGAGAAAGAAAAAGGGTTGAAGAGAGAGGAGGAGAAATTCGCCAGTAATGGAGAAGACCCATCTTCGAGACCCAGTAAGCAATTCATCATTGCGGAATCGGAAAAATATCACTCTATTATATATATATATATAATAATCATCAATTTATGTACATATATATTATACTTTGAATATATATTATAGAGTACAATATTACTGTGCCCCTGCATAACAAAATTTCTGAATCCGCCCCGGTTGGGATGCCACCGTGGTGGCGGAGGGTCCAAATTGGGAAAGATCTAAAAAACAAAAGTAATTAAAATGCATTTTTTTGTTTTGGTTTCAAATTTCTAAAAATATTAGACATAATGCTAATGGCATTTTACTTTTTATTTCACCCTAAGAAAATCAGACTCATTAATTTACTTTCTTATAGAGTAAAAAGTAAGAAATTAGAATTAATTCATCGAGTTATATATATACAATCCCACGGGGTATAAAAAGAAAAAGTGCTATATACATATATGTAGAATTTATATCCTTCAAATGAGGCATTTTGTAGTAAAATTTAAGAACAAAATCATTTGGACTCG